AGAGTCATTTGTACGTCTATCTTCGCCCGCAGAGTCACAATATTGGGTGGTGTCCACGTCCAGCGTCGCCCTGACCAGTTCTGGGGATCTGGCTTGACTGCGGGGCAGGGTGCTGGACCCACCTTTGTAAGGGGGTGGTGGGACACCACCACGGAGAGCTTCAGCCAGAGCTTTGTCATGGTCAGTGGGAAAGGTGGGGGCATGATGGTGGTTATTGTCCCTGCGCTGAATCGGGGGAGTGAATTTAGCCGTGTTTCCAGTTTGTGCTGAAGGGGAGCGCTGATAGTTGGACTCGTTTCTGTGAAGGTTCTCAGCGGGATGATTGTTGAGTCCCAGATCCAGATTGTTTGGTTTTACCCAGCGTGCACCTGCACTTTGTGAAGATGGATTACCAGTAGCACTCGGAAGATGTAGGATTGGTTTAGGGGGTGGCATGAGAGCTTTGCGGACTTCTCGGACATATTGAGCAGGTACATAAAAAGCTTTAGACGCCTCCTCTTTTTTCACCTGCCACCAATCCACATTAGTTTTCTTGACTAGCATGTAGCATTCCCCCTGCTGGATCTTAATGAGCCGGTCTTTAAACTTATACTCATAGTCGTATTCTACCTCGATGTAGATCTGGCCCGGGGCAATAGGCAGATCTGCCATGATGCCTCTTACTATCCACCAGGCTGTTCACCCCAAAAGAAAAATATTTATTACCATGTCTTCATCAGTAGACCTTTGAAAAAACAAAGAGAATATATTAAATATACATTTAATTTCAGTGTGAATAACTTTCCTATTGTACTTAATATATATACACCTCGGGTGCCATGATGTTCTAATGTTCCAGTATATATAACATCTAACTAAGTTATCACCTGTGAAGTCTAAGACGACATCCTTTTTCCATTTTTCCCCAAATATTGAAATTAATTATTAAATAACAATGTCAATAAGGAGCATCTCTGCAAAATACTTTATAACCTTTAAATGGAGTAATATAATCATAATCTCAGTTGTCTCATTAGTGAGTTTTTTTTCCTGAAAATGTACTCTGTCCACTCTCTTGGACTGCAGCTGAACAAAGTCTATGTGGCAGCAACTACCAGCTATAGTCCAAGGTGGTGGAGTTAGACTTAAGTCTTTCTGGAGAGGCAGCCAAACAATTTCTGGGACCACCATTACAGGGACCTGCCCACAGAGGTGCTAGACTTTCTCACCAAATATAATTTGGCATACCTAAATATTCCTGATTGTGCCACCTAATTAAAGTTTATGTATAGAGAAACACTCTTCTTATTACATTTTTTAGTTTTCCTTTTTCTGTATTAGTGACCTTTGAAACAATAAAATGAATAAAAACTTTGAAAGGCTTTCTAAAGGTATCGTATGCATTTCTGTTTAAATTGTCATTAAAACAACATGTTTTCAACTAACAATTTTAAGGAAAAATGAAAAAAAAAAGTTGTGTTTTTATGTGTGAGAGAAAATAACTTGAAGAAATAAGCTTAAATCAAAACTAACAATGAACATTAAAACCATAAAAAAAAATCTTGAGATATAGTTAAGTCAGAAAATACTTATTGCTATCTCCTCTCATTTAATCAAAATAAAGTCAAAATTAAGAA